ATGGCTCACACCTGTAAGAATACACCTGTAATCCTAGCACTCTGGGAGGCCAAGGCAGGAGGATAGCTTGAGCTCAGGAGTTTGAGACCAGCCTGAGCAAGAATGAGACCCCGTCTCTACTAAAAATAGAAAAATTAGCCAGGTGTTGTGACACATGTCTGCAGTCCCAGCTACTTGGGAGGCTGAAGCAGGAGGATTGCTTGAGCCTAGGAGTTTGAGGTTGCTGTGAGCTAGGCTGACACCACGGCGCTCTAGCTTGGGTGACTGAGCAAGACTGTGTCTCAAAAATATATGTATATATCATTCCATTCAAGTGTTTTTTCCCAACCTTATGAAGCACAGATAAAATAGCTGCTTTAAAGTCTTTGGGAACTCCCTCTTGAGATTGGCATTTGTTGATTGTCTTTTTACCTTGAGAATTGGTTCCATTTTCCTGGTTGTTCGTATGTCGAGAGGTTTTGAATCGTATCTTGGACATTGTGAATGTCCCACATTGTAGACTCTAGGTCTGTTGTAAGTCTCTGAAGAATGGAAATGTTTTTTGTTTTAGTCAGAAATCAAGTAGGTTATGTTCAAACCATAAGTTCTATTCCACCTTCTGTGGTTATATGAATTTAAATACACACATAAATGCATACCTTTCCACTTAACTTTGGGAATTGCTGTATAACAATCAGCAGGAATTCATGGATTTGCCTAGTCACTTTATCAGCTTAGGATTCTTTCCCTTGCCCCTCCCCCTCCCCGATTCACTCAATTCCAGCATAACACCTAATAAAAAGAGGAAAAACTGTTCCTTTTCAGGTTAGTTTACTAAGAAATGCTTTCTGTAGTTCACTTCTGACCCTCGCCAGATCAAAAACTTTCCCCAGAGTCTTCTTCCACATATGAACATTTTTTTCCTGCAAAACTTGAGTTTAGCCTGCCAGATCACTTTTCTACTTTTTCTCTTGTCTTTTTCACTCATACTTCTTAAATCCCGTGTTCTATTTACTCAGACCTCTAGGGTGCAGAATTACATTTAAACCACACAGCGTTAATCGTACTCATTAACTTCCTATCCATACCCAAATCCTGCTCACCTGTCAGGCTAGATGGCAAGGCCACCAGTGCAGCCTCTGGCGCGAGGGTATCTGCTGTTCCCTTGACCAGCGCCCTCTCCCTAATGTTCTCTCTGAGCACCTAACAGGGACATAACTCAGCGTTGTTCCATTTTTATCAAAGCGTTTACTATTTTGTATTCATATCAGACATTCATATTTGGATTTTGAAAACATGCTAAAAATTAAATTATTGATTAATGCTTGATGCATATAATGGTTTGGCTAAAATAAATTACCATAAACTTTACTCTTTCAGAGATATGTGAACAGAGACCACAGCTCTTCCGTATTCACACTGGAGCTCATGTTTTAATACTTTATAATTAAACATTATGCACTACATATACAGTAAGAAGGCAATATCATTTCAAAATTGTTCCTCAGAGAGGGAAAAAATGATTTTCCATTATGTTCTCATCTAAGCCTTTGCTTCAAGACAGCTGCTATAGGTCCCCTTGGCAGACACTGAGAGAGTTTGAAAGGAACATGAGCTATGCCTTTGTCACCCTGTGAAAAAAATCCCGATAGTTTTGACATTTCAGAATATATTAATTTGAAAATTTCACTGCGTATTATGAAAACTGTTAAGCCTATAGAACTTCTTTTGGGACTATCTTGCAAAAGAGGCTTATTCTGCCATTTGTTTTATGCTTATTAGGTGGCTCAGAGGAATTACATTTGCAGAGGACTTCTTAAATTTATAGGAGGAACTACACTGCCAAAGTAGTTTTTGAAAATAAAAAAAAAGACTAATATTCAAACAATTATTTAATAATATCCTCTCCCAGTTCCTCTTTATATAAGCTCTGGGAGAAATGCCCAAGAAATAGCCTACAGAATACAGACCTTCAAGGAGCCAGAGTGTCTTTGAGAAGCACATCCAATCTAAGGGAAATGGAGTGGAGCTAAGGCCATTAAGAGCCATAGCAGGTCCCTAACCAGAGCCGTTAGGGCTGCACGGGGCTGTCCAGGAGGACCAACAAAGGCACTGGAAGGTGAAGATGTGACTACACACAGTAAAACAGAGACGGGAGCCACACACACTTGACATTTGTGTGATACTTCTGAAATTTTGAAAATTATGAGAAATATTAAACTGACAGAGAAAGACACCTTCAATACAACTTCAAGAAGAAAAGAGAAAATGGTTATCACAAGGCACTAGGAGATGTGCCCGCCTTCGCTTTGCCTTTCTTTGCAGTCTGAGCTAGGAAAATGACCTGACGCTTCCCATTGGCTTCCTTCGGGCATGAGGGACTGTGCAGGAGTGTGCCCATCCCACTAGGAACAAGAGCCTCTGAGGCTGACACGCAAATACAAAGTCTGTGGTTGTGAGAAGGGTCCTGGGTGGGGTGCAGGGCAGAGCATCACTGGGGTAGGGACTGAAGAACTGTCTCCAGCGACAATTCCAAGCAAGTTAGAAAAGCAGGTAACAGTGTGGGAAGGGAGTTTATTATGGCAGAAAACACACAGATTGTCCTGTGACATTTTAAAATATGTAACCAGCCATTGAAGAGTTTCCACTGTCAGTGAAGAAAGGCGCAGTGCAGGCACAAAGTATGACTGTCGTTATGAGAAATCTAGTGGGACGTCCTTATCTCTGCATCACTAATTCTCTGGTCTTTTCAAAAAATTATTACCTTTAGAAAATAAAACATACAGTAACTGAAACCACTTGCAGAATACAAAAGAAGTAAAATGTTGACTGAGATGCTGAACTGCTATGTTGTGAAAGCTCCCCCACCAAAACCCAGCAACGCCTAGAAAATGGCACACACACGTTGCGACGCAGTGAGAGTTTCTTAGCAAGTTAGCCTTGGTTGTGGTCCTAAGGTCCATTCCGATGTTTCCTCAACCAGGACTCAGTGGTGATCTAGCCATGCTGTGGAGACCAACACCCAAGTCCTGTGCCCATTGGCCAACTCTTCTACTCATCTGAGCTCCATTCCTCTCATGCCAACCAGCTAGGACATCTCCCCTCAGATGCTCTCACCATCCTCTCAAACCCAACACATTCAAAACTTACCTCACAATTTCCCCCAACGTGTCTCTCCTGTTCTTGGAAACACTACTCTCATTGCCCCAAGTTCCCCGTTGAACCTCACAATCTTTTACCCCCTAAAGTAACATACGCCCGCAGCCTCTCCTACTCCTGTACAGTCCTGTGGTCCCCACCACTGCCCTGGTCACCAGCCACCCCTTAATTAGTCTTGCTCAACCAGCTGACTGAGGCCGCACTCTCCAGCCAGTTTGTGATGTCGCATGCACCACTGCACCACAACCTTACCCTGACGGAGAATCCTGATGCATCCAGGCATCGTGTCTAGTCTTCGTTCTACCTGCTTCTTGCTGGGCTCTCCGATCAGGCTCTGTCCACTCTGTCCTCTCTCCCCTCAACCCCTTTACTCCCAGCACTGTCCCTGCTTGGAGCTGGGCCGTCTGGACTCACGTGTCTTGCTCCCACACCCCAGGCCAAGCACAGCCATGCCTAGGAAAGCACCTTGTGAACTGGGCTGCCTCCCGTAAATGCTGCTGCACATTCTGCAAAGCCTAGTTACAGCGGCCTCTTTAAGCCTTCCCAAACCTATCTCATGCAGCGCAGTTCAGCCCTTGATTTATGTTCTAAGGTAAAAATAGAGATGCCTCCTGATCTCAGCAATTCTAATACAGCATTTTATTTATTTTATCCCATTATCTGGTTCAGGCACTAAATTAGTGCTTAATTCATAAGCCTGTGTTGATATGTGGATGCTCCATATTCAATCATGTGTGTAGCATTCTCATTACAGTGCACCAGTTTAGAGATGGCTGTATAGGCAGACCCCAGCCATGGCCACAGAGCAGAACTAAAATACTTGCAGAGGGGACCAAATGTGACTTCAGAAATCTGGGTTCACTGATGCTTAGTCCATTAAAAGAATATACCTATGTGGTTTTTACATTTTCCTCCTTTTCAAATTACACACATTCTCCCAGGAAAAGTAGCTGATTAAGGTAAACTATTTCGGGCCAGGCACAGTGGCTCACACCTGTAATCCCAGCACTCTGGGAGGCCAAGGCAGGAGGATCACTTGAGGTCAAGAGTTCGAGACCAGCCTGAGCAAGAGCCAGACCCCGTCTCTACTACAGATAGAAACATTAGCCAGGCGTGGGGGTGCACACCTGTAGTCCCAGCTACTCGAGAGGCTGAGGCAGGATGATAGCTTGAAGCCAGGAGTTTGAGGTTGCAGTGAGCCACGATGACGCCACTGCCCTCTAGCAAGGGTGACAGAGCCAGACTCTGTCTCAAAAATGAACAAACGAACAAAAAAAACCCTAAGTGTTACAGCACCGAATCTCAGGAACTAATTCCACTATCAATCTCCAATTATAACAAGAAAAAAAAGGGAAATTGTTTCATTTCAAGGGGCGAAAATAAAATTGACAATAAAGGAAAAGCTAACTACTGATGGCATCTTTTCTGTGTGTCCTGCAAAATGCGCTGTTAGGTCAGGTCCTGACAGAACAAGGACGAGTCCAGACGAGGCTCTGTCTCCTTCCGCTGTTCCCTTTGCTTCCTGCGACCTCCCAGAGCCTCTTTACAGGCTCACAGCGCAGTCGGTGTCCTCTTCTGGAATGTGACAAATGACATTACTTGTCTGTTGTAGAAATTGGAGTTTCTTAAAGTTTTCATAAACAAATAAAAGCATTCTCTGCTCTACTATAATCTGTCATGATACTTAAAGTTTTCATAAACAAATAAAAGCATTCTCTGCTCTACTATAATCTGTCATGATACTTTATTTTTTAAAAGCTCAAAATGAAAACAAAAAACTGTAATCAATAGAACATTCAATGTTTACAAAGATTCGTTTCTAAAAAAATTTTAAAAAAGAGAGCCAATGAATTCCATTTATGTTTTAGACTATTTAATGGAGGTATCTGTTGTACATGTGGTTTTAGTTTAACAAACACAACGTAGCTCTCTAGAAACACTTAACCTGAGTTGGAAATGAAATCTGAACCGAAGAGACTTTAATTCACAAATATAATTCCCCTCAAGATACTAGCAATAGTTCCAACTGAGGATTGTGCCTGAAGTTCAGGACTCAGTGCCGGGACACGAATGAGGGAAAACTCCTTGTCGTTCAAAAGCGCCGCTGAAGTCGTAGGGCTGCACCTGCGGGCCCTTGGTGAATGTGAGCCTCCGCAGGCAGCCCCGGAACGAGGCGCGGCTGCCCAGGCAGTTTTGCTTTACATCAGCTGTCAGGAAAGAAGACAAATCCTGCTTAATTTTGTTGAAATGAGATCGGTAGCACAATGAGAGCAAAAATAATCTCAGGTGGCTTCTCTACCAAAATTAGAAGAATATTTCTCACATGTGTGGCTTTGGTGACTAGCAGAAGTCATCGAAAACTTTTAATATGTGATCATTTTAAGGTATAGTTATGACTTCAAAAGTCATACAACAGATGACTGTTTGTAGCAATTCCTTGGAACATCTGAAATGATAATTCTAACCTGAAACGGACATGAGAGGATGAGCCACGCGTTTGTTCCCTAAAATGGGTACCCAGTCCTAAAAGTGACTGATCCCCAAAGGAGTCATCTAAGACGGTTCACCTCAGGGAAGTCATCCAGCCTACTTGGTATCAGACCCCACGTTCTCAAGGTCTTACCTACTGATGAACTTGTATGTGTAGATTAAGTTTCCCAAGAACTCCTAGGTATTTGAAATAGCTTTTGTAAATGACAAAGGGTTTGCCACCTAAACCATGTATCTTTCTCCATCCCTATTCTATATGCACCTGAACTAAGACGTCCCCCAGGGACAGTGCCCCGTAGACGTGGAAGAGCAGGGCAGATGTCCGTACGTACCGGGATAGCCACCGACATAAATGGGATTGTTGGTGTCCGCCGAGGTGGACTGGGTGTGTGGGCTTTCAGCACCTACTGCATTTCCATCAACAATCAGAGTGACACGGTGTTTGCTTTTGTTAGCGTGCAGCGTGTGCCACCTCCCATCGCAGAGCACGCTGGCAGCCCTGGGCTCGTATGCGGCCGTTATCCTCCCAGCACCGTTGTTGACATGAAACAAGAGCTAAACAAAGCCAACATATCTTGGTGAGTTTTTCCATATTTAAGGAACACAGTGCATTTGTATAGTGAGTGCTCTTGGAGTGGACAAAGCACAATATTCTTTCAAAAAGGAGAGCTAACTATGAAAAACGAACTATCATTTTGAAAGATTGCCTCTTTTTTTCTTTAAATTTTGACCCTTTTACTTATTTTTTTTTTTTTTAATTTCAGAATATCATGGGGGTACAAACATTTTGGTTACATATAATGCCTTTGCCTCACCCAAGCCAGAGCTACAAGCATGCCCATCCCCAAAGGAAAAATAAATAGCCTCTTAAAGGAGTCAGATATTCTACTCTTCCCCAAATTTCAGAAAGTGCAAATGGCCACCTCCATGAGGACAAGCCCAGCCAGCTGGCATCCTTAAATTAGCGCCTCATTGTCAGGGCATTTCAGGACATTTCAGCAGTTACTAGGTATACTGAAGCTGTTAGTTCATACTAATTGGGAACACCTCTGAGGGGATATTAATATTTACTCACTCCCTTCTCAGGAGCTGCAGAGTCTCTAGGGCAGACAGTGGTGACAAAAAACTGAGAATGTGACGGTACTTGGAGACAGGGTGATTAAAGTGAGGTCACTAGGGTGGCCCAAATCCAACCTGTGTCCTACAAAGAGGAGAGATTAGGACACAGACAGGCACTAAGAGAAGACCCTGTGGGGACACGGGGAGATCGTGGCCATCTGCAAACCCAGGAGAGAGGCCTCAGAAGAAACCACCTTGATGACACTTGACCGTGGAGCTGGTCTCCAGAATTGTGAGAAAATCAATTTCTGCAGTTTGAGCCACCCAGTCTGTGGTACTTTGTTCTGGCACCCTGAGCAGACTGAGACGGGAAGAATTTCAAGTGCATTGTTGGAAGGTTCTTGTGCTCTACATGGAGCTACTTGGTATTATTTCAAGGAGGTCCGTGACAAATTAAAGATATATATTATAAACCCTTGGGCAGCCACTAAAAAAAGTTGAAAAAGAACAATAAATAAAAGAGCAATAATTGGGGTAAAATATATACCAGAAAATCACATTTTTTGCAGCTATTACACTTCTGACAAGATTTAGATGTCACATAAAAATGTGCAAATAGATACAAAATTTTTAAAAATTCTTTTAAAATATAAACAAGGGAAAAAGTTGGCTACAAGTTCCTGTCTAGAGAGGCAGCAGGTCGTAGAGGCAGTTCTGTTTCAACATGAAGTAAGAGGAGGAGAGGCAGAAGGCAGGAGGGCTGGTGGGACCTTCTTATGGCTCCCCCACCTCGCTCTGTTGAGTCCATGTTGTTCCCAGCATGAGAGGGACATGAAAGGCTGAGTAGTTACAGCAGAGTAGTTACAGAAAAAGAATTATACTTTTTGCATAAAAAAATTTAGAGTGTGGCACCTCCATTCCAAGGAGTAACAGTCCACAATACAAAGGAATGCACCGTTGGTACACAAACTCCTGGAGGAATCTCTCAGAAATCAGGCTGAATGTCAAAAGCCAATCTCAAGAGGACACTTACTGCACGAATGCATGTCCAGGACATTGGTGCAACAACAGAGAGAGGGAGACCGGATGAGTGGTTGCCAGGGGTTAGGGATGCAGGGGGTGGGTGTGGCCAGGAAGGGGTACCTGGGGACCTGTAGTGATGGTCACACATTTGTATCACAAACTGCATGTGATAAAATTGTGTAAAGCTACACACACGTGTGTCTGTATAACTGGTGCCACTGAACAAGCTATGGGATTGTGAGATGTGCATGGCGTGGATTTGACGCTGTCCCCAGTTATGCACTACGTTACTGGGGACCCTGGGGAAAGGGTGCATGGGGCCCGCCTCGTACCCCATGTAACTTCATTGTAACTTCCCAGGAATCTGTAATTGTTTCCAAATAAAAAGTTAAAAAAGTATTAGAAGAGAAAGGCCATCAGATTGGCAGCTTACTCTCAGATAGTTCAGGGAAAAAAATTCTTTTGTGTTGTAGTTGCAATTTTGCTGTAAGGTTAATTTCAAATATATAAAAGAAGCTATTTTCCAAAAGCTTTTTAGGTTTATCTGTTTTTTAAATATTAATGGAAACTTTCTTGACTCCATTAAAGTGGATGATCGGAAATGTGCATCCAAGTATTTCTCCTGTTTCTCAACTGCTCTGTCTCTGACACCGGGGGAGGGGCCCAGCAACAGGAAGCACCTACCTTGCCATTTACAATCTCTAGCCCAATGGCATCCACTTTGGCGCTGCTGATGCCCAGGAGGACGCCGTTCTCTGAGGAGGTACGAAACTCGAGTGTGATGTTCACATCTGACCGGACTTTGTAGCCTTCTTTGACTGAAAGACACAAGGACAGCCCGAGTCGGGGGTGAGCCCTGCAGGGCCCAGGCTCAGAGAGGCGCGGGCTGGGCTGGCTGGGCTGGCTGGGATGCAGGGGCCCTGCCTCTAGCTCTTCCCCCAGATCCAGCGCCAACCACACCAGCAAGTCACTCCGGCCCTCTGAGCCGGCTCCCGCATCGGTAAGATGAAGTGGTGCGCAGGGGATCAGCTGGGGTCAGGCAGGGCAGAGGCAGCGCATCCTTCATCTGCGGGCTGGAGGCGCTTGGCCCCCGCCCTGTGGACACGGCAACCTGTGGCAGTCTTTCCTGTGTGCTATTGGGATTTGATTTGTGTCTTCCCTTTCTCATCATCCAAGAATAGTCGATTTTATTTTCCTAGTATCTAGGTACCAGGCGAATGGTCATTTACTGAATGTATCAGAGTCCACATTGGGTTTTTTAAAAGTGGGGCATGAACCAAGCCCACGCCTAAAGGAAAATGGGAGAAGGTGGTGTTACCAGAGCCTGGCAGCTGGCAGGGGTTGTTCAAGGGGAGCCGAGGCCACAGCAGGGCAGGTGACAGGAAGCCCAGAGTGCAGGAGAGACGGTCCCCTTCCTCCCCCACCCCACCCAAGCTCTGTCGGAGCCTCCCTGGCGCTGGCTGGTCTAGACATTCTATGCTGCTGATTTTTAATTCAAAAGCCTTTATTCACTTGGACAGCAAGCGAGCCTTACATAAATTTGAGGAAAGTACAGATGAAACCAGCACCCCGTGTCTGGCCTCCGTCAGGATTCACTCCACTCCTGGCAGGAGAAAGGTTTCATAAGGCCATCTGGACAGCACAGACAGGAGACAGATTTCACTTTAAAAGTCAAGAAATTAGGAATAAATGAAACATTGAACTAAAAGTTGCTATCCTGCAGCCTTGTCCAGGGGGGCCTGTCTTATCATGTACTCCTTGGATCCACGTCGTCTCAGAGCGCAGGCTAAGCCCAAGCATTCCCTTCCTGATTGCTGATGATACACACCAAGAGCTGCGTATCCACTTCCGTCAAAGAAAGTTCCTTCCTGGGCCACTGCGTAGCACCTGTTCACTGCAGAGGCAGACTCTGGGCTGTCCTTGTCCAGCTGCTTGCCGTTCACTGTCACGTCCCCAATGCAGGCAGGGATGCTGTGGGTGATCTGAGCCAAATGACACGTGACAGTAGACGGTGGTGATTACGACGAGAAAGGCTGGGACACCTTTTTCCTATACGTCATCGAATTTGTCTCAGCAAAACGCATTGAAATGTTACCTTTTGGTTTTTAAAATTTAATTTCTACAATACTTCCCATGAACATCTAACTTAGAGCCACCATTTGAGTATCTTTGATAACAACGCACTGAAAGCGTTTTCTATTATTTTAACGAAATATCATGGAAAACAAGAATGCTGAGTTTACCAGTGCGGGACTTTTCTGAATTGTGCTGGGGCTGAGCAGCTGCAGGAGGGGAAATGCTCACTAACCAACAGGCAGGAAAGGCGTTGTGCTCTAAGAGAAGCCCCAACACACGATCTAGGGACACGCTCCTGAAGGTCTGCATTTTGCCGCCGAGCCCCAGCTTCAAGCAAGATAATTGAAACCTAAAGATGTGAAGAGCTGTGCTCTTCTACAAAATAAACACAACCACCACAAAGGTAAAACGAGCCCCAGAGAGAAAACGCCGCTTACATTTCCAATGTTCCTGGCCCGGTACTCAGAGGGAAGGCCGCCTAGGTACAGCCTCCCTTCCACGTCCAGCGTGGTTCCGTCTCCCACCGTGGTCACCATGGGGGATTCTTGGCCATCAACCGTCATGAAGCCTTTTCTTTTAAAATACTCTGTCTTGACCTACAGCAAGAGGAAAACATCCATAATTTTTAAGGAATCTCAGAAAACTTTGATAGATGTATGTTTGCAACATCTGTTCACGACAGCTGTAATAACCTGAACGCAATCCTAAAGGGAGGCTCAGATTTCCCCCTTGCTGGTGATGAGCAGTGACTGGCCTGGCAGCAGACAGGAGGAAGCTGCAGGTGGATGACACTGCAGGGCAGAAAGTGTCTCAGAGTCCGGTTCTAAGAAGCAAGTGCCACTACGTAAGGCTCGGTGCTTGCATGCCACGGGCGGGCTTTACTTGCTCCTTGCCAAGTCCAGAACACTTCTGGTGTCTTTTGTTCATTCAGCCAGTGCTTGCTGAGTGTCTACTCCGGGGATATTTCAGAAGCAGAAAGGACCCCTGACTTCGAGGAGCGTGCGTTCTCTGGGGGGATACCAGACTCACGCAAGCTAGAGATCACAGGAATCATTTCCCTCCCGAGAACCTACCGTGTGCCACTTGCCGTCACTGAGCAGCGCGGGGTGAGAGACCTTTGTCCGGCCTTTGCCGAGGTCGAACATGAAGTGGAGGCGGCCGCCGTGGAGCTGGAGCGTGGCGTAGTCCACTTGGTTCTGATGCGCCATGTGGTAGACCAGGCCGCTGGAGGCCCACGTGCGCATGCGCAGCTGCACCGACAGCCTGGAGGGAAAGACGAGCTCAGCGCCGCAAGGAAGCTTTCGCTTCTCGTTTTTAAAATAACCTCAAATGGAGAACCCGACCGCTGTTTCGGCATTTATATGGAACATCCCAGGAGACAGCATCATTCATTCCTTCATTTATTTAAGCATCTATTCATTTAATAATTGGTTAGCGTGTCCCTCTGTCTGCCCGGAACTCTTCTAGGATGAGGGTAAAGCAATGACCCAAGAGGAAGATCCCTTCTCTTAGGAAACTGATACCAGAGACGCATCACAGAGTGACAGCTGGGTCCCATAGAGGCTCCATGAGGTAGCTGGGGCAGGCAACTCTGAAAAGGTGCTATTTCAGCTGAGATCTGAATGGCAGAAAGCAGCGAGCCCCTACAAAGCTGAGCAGGAAAAGCCTTCATTCGGTTTAGGGCAATACAGAGTATGTTAAAGTAACTTGCTTATGTTGACAGCCAGGAATCCCGGCTGGAACCCCACGGTCCCAGGAGCACACAGGGACAGGGTGAGGGAGGGGTGGCTCCATCCTGGTAGAGGAGGGGCTTTGGTGTATTTGGATTTTACTTTAAGCACAGTGGGAAGTCACAGAAGGGTTTTAAAAGGGGGAGTGGGTGTGACTTGATTTACACCTTTAAAAGCTCCTCTCTGATGCGAGGAACAAGTCAGGTGAAGTGGTCCACCCACACGACAGTCCCCAGGGAGATGGGGACATGGACGAGGTGAACTGATTCAGGGAATGTTCTAGAGGAAGAAGCAAGAGGACTTGCTGATGGACTGGATTTAGAGAGTGAGGGAAAAAAAAAACAGCAATAAAATATAATCTCTAGGTCTGGGCCTTGGGCAAGCAGGGAGGGAATGGAGCAGCTGTCTGCAGCCATGGCAAAGAGCCAAAGAGCGGAGGGCAGGTCAGGGGAGGCGGGAATTCCCTCTTGGCGGGCTGAGGCTGAGAGGCCTGTGCCAGTTTCCCCAGAGGTGTCGGGTTCTAAGCAGAGGCCAGGGCTAGGCAGGTGGGTGCTGTTGTATCTAGAAGGTATTTTAAAGCCACTAAAACTTAGAAGGCCACCCCAGCAGGACGTGTGGAAGGGGCCCTGGCACTCTCTGCTGGGAGAGGAGCCACAAAGGAGACTGAGGGAGGGTGGGCAGAGAGTGGGGGACCCAGGAGAGCGCGGGCTGTGCCGGCAGGAAGTCCAGGGGCTGCCAAGAGCCCAGAGTTGGTGCCATGGGCTGTGGCTGCACGTGGGACTCGGCAGGGCAGCTGGGGTGAGTGGGAGGCTGACTGGGTAGTTAGAGGAGGTAGTGACCCTGAGGAAAAGGCAGACAGCCACTTAAGGCCACTCCTCAAGAGGTCTGGCAGTGAAACAGAGCCGGGCCATCGTGCACGTGTGTGGAGGCAGATTGCGGCATCTCCTGGGGCATGTCTGTTTGGGAAGTTAGGAACCCTAGAGAGGGAGCAGGGCACAGAGGTTACAGCTGCGCCCCTCATCCACGGTTCTGCTTCCAGGTTTACTTTTACAGCTTTCAATTATCCACTCAACGGAGGTCTGAAAATACTAAATGGGAAGCTCCAGAAATAAACAACACATAAGTTTTAGATTGCATGCTATTCTGAGTAGTGTGATGAAATCTTTCACCATCCTGCTCTGTCCTGCCCAGGACATGAATCGTCCCTGTGTCCAGCGGATCCATGCTGTCTACACCACCTGCCCAATGGTCACTTGGTAGTTTTGCCTTGGTTCTCAGATTGACAGTAGCGGGTTGTGGTGCTTGTGTTCAAATCACCCTTATTTTACTTAATAATTGCTCCAAAGCACAATAGGAGTGATGCTGGCATATTGTTATAATTGTTCTATTTTATTATTAGTTGCTAATTTATAAATTAAACTGTATCCTAGGTACGCATGTATAGGAAAAAAAGTGCGTATAGCGTTCAGTACTATCTGCGGTTCAGGGATCCACTGGGGGTCTCAGAATGTGTCCCCCCCACCATGGATTCGGGGAGACGACCCTATGGGCACAGACTCTGGAGCTACAAGGCCTGGGCTTGAATCCCAGCCCTACCATTTACTGGCCATGTGACTTTGAGCAGGTAACTTAACCTCCTTATGCCTCAATTTCCTTATCTGTAAAATGAAGATGATAATAATACCTTCCTCACAGGACAACTATGAGGAGTAAATGTGGTTATCTGAGTAAAATATTGAGCGAATCTCTGGCACAAGGTTTGCTGCTCTTACAGTGACTAATGACGACAGGCTATGGGGCTGTCTGTGTCTGCTGGGAGTCGTGCGTTGAGGGAGGATCGGTGCTGATGTCCTAGGGAGGAGAGGGCTGACATGGTCCAGAGGGCAAGTGATGGGGGCCTTCACTGGAAACGAAGACCCTCCACCATGCAGCAGCAGAGGTAGAGGGCGGGGAGCAGAGGCAGCGGCTGCTCTTTTTGGTGGTGGACAGACAGAGGAGTTCTGGCCTCTCGGTGAGACCAGTCACTAGCTGAGGCATGAAGAGAGGTCGTGGGGGTGCACAGAGCCTTGAGGTAAGAGAAGCTACGTGAGTAAGGAGCTATGGAAAGTAAAAGCCACGAACACAATGGAGAAATGCATTGCCTCTCCATGTGGTTTGGAGGTTCTGTCTGAGATTGGCGGCCATGGCATTAAAGTCAAACCATTTAGGAGGGAGACGTGCATCTCCCAAGCTTCGGTCTCTAGCTCAGGTTCTGGCACAGAGAAGGCAAAATGCTGGGTTTCCCCTGGGCTTGCAGCATGGGAAAGCCGAGAGGGGAAGGGGAGTTTGCGGAGGCACACCTGTGATACTGGCCTGGGGGCGGGTGAATTGCAGCCTAGAGGCCTCCACACAGTGGCAGCACTGCCAGCCTGGGAAAGGACAGAGATGAGGAGGAAGAGGTCAGCTAGTAGGATGCTTTTAAAGTACAGACTAGGGAGTGGAATGGACACCTGTGAAGAAGTCACAGGTGCGCCCATGGGAGAGGCTGGCTGAAGAGGAAGCAAGAAGAGACCACAGACAGGAGCCAGAGGACTGAAAGCTTAGGTGCTAGGCGGCTGCTGAAGTCACGGAGGGCAGTGGCCGGAGCTGCAGAAGAATGACAGCGAGCCCATGCAGAATGTGCAGGGGTCTACGGGCAGGCGCCGAGGCGAGCTGCAGGCCTGGAGGACAGAGAAGCAACGTGGAGTCTGGGAGCCTTGGACTGCAGGCCTGGAGACGGGTGGGGAGAGCTGGATTCCCAGCAGGAGGGCCTCAGGGACCGGCAGGTGTGGGGGCCAGAGGGATGTGCAGCACCAAGGACCTGGGGGGCCATAATGCAGGAGTCTGGGAAGACAACAGCAATTGATCGGTGAATGCTTAAAGTCTGGGGTTGAAAGTCCAGACGACACTCAACTCATGGGATTCCAGAATGAAGACTGATGTAGACAGATGCCCACACCCTTCCCTACACACACACACACACACACACACACACACACACACACACACACACAGAGGTGGCAACAGCTGTAAGGAGAAAGGCAGAAGCTCCAGCATCCCTGCTTAACCATGATTAAAGTGTGTGATCTGCACCAACACTGTGTTCCTATCCCTGTGCCTTCTCATGGCGGCCAGCTGGTTGCAAGCAGAGCTCCCATCATCAAATACAAAGCTGCTTTTGGAAAAGACCCTGTTGCTGAAGATACCCCTTTGAGTCATCCAGCAACGAGGTGCACCTTGATAGGACTTCAGAACAACACCTACTTCCTTCTGACAGCCGACTGATTGAAAGGCAACACGAAGTGGCTGCTTTGTGTGAGGCCAAACTGGTGAGCGCCGGGCACATACTCCGGAGCTGGGTCCACCGCACACTGCTCCTGAAAGAGATGCACAGGGACACTCAGCCGCCTGCAGCCAGAGCCCCACGAACACACATCTCAGGAGCAGTCATCTCCGAACAGCAACAAGCACAAATGTGTGTTCGCACTCGTTTCATCTTTGGCTTAAATGAGGTACCCGCCAGCCTTTGTCTCTCTGACAAGGCAATTAGAGCTTCTATCTCTCACCTTAATCACACTCAAGTTCACTTAAATTCATAAAGATACTGGAGTCCCTCCCACGAATTTTCAACAGGCCCAAGGGGCAAAGGCCTTGCTGTCTCCCCTCGGCCCATGCCGTGCGTGACCCGAGGCTCTGGGAACAGTCCTCAGAATGCAGTGGCCAAGGATCAGCTGCAGCACAGGTCCCGGGAAACTGGAGAAGCCCACAGGTGACAGATCTTGCAGGGCCTCAGAGTTTGACATGTCTAAGTTCACATCGACAGGAGCAAGGTGCAGACAAGAGGAGCCAGAAGGGAAGGGCCCCTAGACCCTGTGGCAGAGGGTGGGTGTCCAGGAAAGGTGCCATAGCATCTGCAGGCTGCCCGACAGTGCCCAAGCCAGAGGCCACCACAAAAACCGCTGTGAACTCAAAGACTGGCCCTGCTTAGAAGGTACTGCTTTTGGATGATCGAGCCGTCCTCTAGATGATTAGAGAGCACGCTTTCGACCAAGGAAACAGAAATCAGAAGGGGCAGAAAATGAATATAACAATGACTGCCACTAAAAATGTTTGCCCCAAACTGGCTTTTCTTAAGCAAATTAAGTCTTTTAAAAAAATTTTAAGCAATGATAATATGTATAATGGCTTATAGTAAGTACTAATTTTCATGTTTTCCTGCCTAAATCTAAAGTGATAATGAATCCTTGTAGAACCTCTGCCAAAAAGCTTGCCGGGTGTCAGCCCAGCGAGGGTGCCTGAGCGCTGGGTCCTGAGATCCACAAACGCTGGGCCGTGTCCTCTACCAGTTTGCCCGGCGAGCCCTTCTCCACCCTGTCCCTGCTCTGATTTTTATCAGAGCCCAGTCCCAGCTGCCCAGCACCTTCGCGATGAGGCCCCGCTTTCATTCCCTCTGGCCTGCTCGCTCCTTTTTGACAGGACCCGACTGGCAGCACTAAAGAAAGCCATGCTTACAGGAACCGCGCGGGGCTCTGGCGGGAGCTCCCTGTCCTCTCCAAGAAGAGCCAGCTTAGGCCTTTCTGAAAGCAAGCAGGTGTCCAAGTCCACTTGTTCGTAGCCAACTGCACTGGTGAAATCCAAAAGTCTAGACACAAACAAGAGAGTGTTTTCAAAAGTAAGATATCACGAGCAACACATGAACCCATGCCATGCGGTGACTGCACAATTAAAATCCATAAACAACCATGCGTATGTTTCTCTTAGTGTAGCTGGAGTGACACCCTTCACCGTGACTGACATACTGTCTAATATGTTTTCTTGTTTGACGCTTCTGCTTGAAATGGCACCCCAGGCCCTTCCTGAGCGCCCCTCGGGGGTCGTCCGATGCCGACGCTCCTCCTGCAGCCTTGCCTGGGCCGCGTCGGGGACACGTGCACGCTCCCGTTTCCACCTCCCCGCACAGCAGCCTCAGCTGAACACTAACTTCCTGTTTACAGGCTTCCCCTGGCCAGGAGGTCGTGGGCTACCCTTGTCACACACCCGTGCCTGCATGAGTCCCTTTGGCGCTTTGCTGGGACGTGGCTGGGAACCGCACAGAAACGTTGCTGCCCCGCCAAGCCCACGGCCTTGCGGCTTCTGGGAGCATGAATGAACGGATGAGCAGACAACCGGGTGACTAAATACATTACGAGTCTGCACAAATAACCAAACAAGGCTCTGACATCATAATTGTGTTGAAATCCAATGCTGCGTTTTATTCTTACAAACTTCAGGGATGCCTCAGAGGTAATTTCACAGAGAAAGACACTGCGACTGTGAAGGCTCCAAGTCCCTGCTCGAGGTCACAAGGCAAGTCAGTGGCCCAGCCAGGAGGGACCCTCAGTCTCCGGATGCTCAGCTCACCTCCGCTTTCTCCCGGGCAGAGCACAGCTTGGATCCCCACAGCACGCCGAGCCCGGGCAGAGGGTGAGCGAGGAGGAGTGAATGGCCAGGGGGCACATGTTAATCCTTCTCCTCCTCACAAGCCCACGCAGGGAACGGAGGCCTCCAGTCCTTAACCATACAGTCATTGTTTTCGGGAGAACCATTAATAATCTGAAACTGCTCGTAGCCCAACTGTAAAAGGCTCCTTCAGAGCAATGAACTCAAGACATCGAGAAACTTGCATCACGACATCTCTAGGTTCTTTTAAATGCACGTCATGTCCAAAATACATTCAACCCCAGCCATTTATGGACAATCATGTGGAGCTAATGTTCAGTGATTGTTTTAAACGTATGATGACCACACCTGTCAATCATTCCAACCCAATAAAGTCCATTTGGGGGGACTTCCATGATAGATCAATGGGGTTCTTCAGGAACTTGTAAGATTTTAGGCAATCTCAAACAGCACAATTATACGCAGATTAGTGCTAGCACTCACCCCTGACGGCCAGAAAGTGCACAAACACACAGAGAGCACAGTTACACTTACTCCAGGTTGAAGATCAGGTTTCTGATACAGCCATGGAACGATCTTCTCATTTTGAGCACTGACGACCCCTCACCCTCTGGAACTCCCCCTATGTACAGGTTGGACACGTCTATTGTCCTGCTCTCCGCCAATGGACCCAACTTCATTTCTACAGGATTGGTCTCATCCAATTGGACAGTGATAATTCTAAAAGATCAAAGGAGAATATAAACAAAAAGTGTTAAATGTAATAGAATGATAACTCGATTTTCATACATAATTCCAGCAAGTTCTTACGAATAATAAAAGTTCCCTGAAGATAAATTTTAATATGACATTGTGTGTGAACAAAAGGTGAATCTTGAAAATTAAAACTTACAGTTGAAAATTCTTCAGAAATGAATGGAATGTTATTAAATATCATTGAATTAAATTACTTTTGAGAGAGTAAGTTTTCTTTTACCTCTTTACCTATAATGAAAATGCTTTTAAAACATTTGGTCTAGAGTTCTGGAGGGAAATATACAGGAATGCTGGCATAATACTATTTACTATTAATATAATACTCTTTGCCACAGAATTAATCCAATACAAAGACAATGTATGTTGGGCTCCAGAAAAGGGCAGGGTTCAGGTTGTTCAATTACAAAAATAGCACAAACATTTTATTACAAAGCAGATGAAACTGATTCCCAAGGAGGTATTCTAGCGAGGTCCAGCCTGTAGGGTTACTTGGAACGCTAATGATCTCAGTCACTGAACTGCACGGGGTACCATGACAGGGTTCCTGCTGGAAACTTTGGTGAGGGCTCCACACCCTCATTACACAGTGCCTTGCCGTGCAGACAGTACCTCTGATTCCTAACCACGGAGATGGAGTGCGGTTGTCCGTCGCTGTAGGTGCCCGTGGGAGCATGCAGGAGGGCTTTCCGCAGGCTCGTCCCGTCCCCAGGACCGACGTGCACCTCGATGTGGCCTTCAATCAGCAGAATGGAAAAGAAGGGCTGGGGTGGGGGGTGCATAGAGAATTTCCCAGAAAAAACACATTACTCTATGATTTTTAAAATTTCCATCTTACAGAGATAATGTGGGAAAGTTAACATCAGCAAGCAATTCCTTAAGACTCTCACCATCTAACACAACTATCTTAAATTTTGTATTAATCTATTACTTCGTAATCTCCTCATATAATTCGCATTCTGCATCATGCTGTTATCACTACACACACCAAAGGTTTCCATTTCTACATTGCCTTCATACTTCTTATTTATTGCTACATTATGTACCAATATGTACATATGTTAAAATTTCTTTTTTTATCAATGAAATTTTAAGTAGTTTCTGTTTATTACCATCCGTATGAATATTTAATTTTTGTTGCCTGCAAAATTGTTTCTAACATTTCTAAAAGTGAAATTAAAGGATTGAAGGGTTTGAAAATGTTTAAAGCTCTTAAAGTCATTTGCCACATTGGAAAGAGGTATAGCAATTTATAATGTCGCCAGCAGAATGGGAATGTGGGCGTTGCACACACAATACCCTTGCTGGTACTGGATGATATCATTCTGTTAGGTAGATAGTGAGGGATTCCGGGTCTCCTAGGGACAAAAGTGGGTGCTGTTGCCCCCATCTTGGTCCTGCCCAACCCTGAATCTACACACCTGGGGAAGGAGGGAATGCCCTATGAGTCTGACCATAGCCAAGCTCTCTCCTTGTCTTTCCTTTTGCCTGTCCTGCTGCGACAAAGGGTCCGGTGTCCTTCTTTGGCTTTTTTCCCTTGTTTTTTAAACCTTTTTTTTGTTTTTGCCTAAAATCCTACCTTTCTCTCCTCAATAAACCTCATTTTCGTGCTCGCCTAACTTTGGCGTGTCTGGTCCTTCTTCAGCCATGAGCGCACCAAGAACCGACAGTCTCAGACTAAAACTTAACAATTCCTTTTTTGCTGCTTCAGTAAACAAACTTTGATTTACAAGAAACCCTATTTAGTGGAGAAAAGCAGTTTGGCGGTTCTTCAGAAGAACTGAAAACAGGAACTCAAAGAAATACTTAAACACATATGGTCATAGCAGCATTATTCATAATAGCCAAAATGCAGAAATGCCCTACGTACATCAATGAAGTAACTGATAAACAAGCTGTACATGCAGTGGAATATTATTCGCCATAAAAAGGACTGAAGAACTGATACACGCTACAATGTGGATGAACCTCAAAAACACGCCAGGTGAAAGGCACAAGAGATCACATCTTGTATGATTCTATTTATATGGAATAGCCAGAATAGGTAAATCTCTCTTTAAAGACAGAAAGCAGATGGTGGTTGCCAGGGGTGGGGACGGGGAGTGACTATTTCATGGGCACAGGCTTCCATTCTGGCACTAGATAGAGGTGGTGGCCTCGCAACACTGAGAACACACTAAATGCTACTGAATTGTTCACTTTAAAATGGTTAATTCTATGTTATATAAATTTCGGTTTAACTAAAAAGATTTTTTAAAAAAAGACCAATGGAGTCTGAAACCCATCGCAGTCACTGTTAGTCCTTCACCAAGTGGCTCATGACAGGCTTGGGGTCTATAGACAGGTGTCACGTAACAGCTGTGTGACCTCCAGCAGGTTAACCAGGCTCTCTGACCCCATTTCTTCCTCAGCACAATGTAGGAAGCAGCATCCACCTTGCAGCGGTGGTTGTGATAATCACCAGGCAATGTCCGTGAAGTGTCTTGCACAGTAAAGAAGCGTGCTCTGTAAACTGTAGTTGCACGGGGTCTGCCTCGTTAGGACAATACCTGAGCATTCTGTGAGGTTTCTCCAAATTATGTGACATACACACGTTTGAGCAGAGGCTAGAGTAAGTATCACCTATGCTCTGGAAATGGAATATAAACATGGCAACGTAAGTGTGGAAAACCACCCTCTTTCCCTCTTCTCCTACTGCTAGTCTGCTGTGCTTAGCCCAGGCCACCTTTCTCTTGCTTCTCTTTCAGTCCTGTAACAGAGAACACCCTGCTTCATGGAGCTGTATGCTAAAGACCCGAACAGAAGTTAAGGACTGTTATTTTAGCCTCAAAGTGAAGAGTAACAATTGCTTCCTGGCCTTTTGGCTAAGACCAAGTGTAGAGTGAGGAGTGATGACTAGAACGTGTGGAAGAAAACTCAGCACGTGCTATCTGAATGAGTTTTTTTCTTTTTTTGTAAAAAAGAGGTAGACAGTAAGTACTTTTTTCTCAGTCACTAGACAAAGAAGATGGGTTATGCAACACAAGAATCACTGACTCATAAGGGAAAGACATTGAGCAATGATAACTTTTACTTATTAAAAATGCATATTCATAAATAACCGGGAACACATTCCATATTTATGAGTCAGTGATTTTCTATTCAGTGTTTCCCAAAGTCATTTCCGGAGCTCGCAGCTCGGCAGCCCGGGAGCTACTCACCGCGTGGGGCTGCCCGCGACCTTGCTTCTCCGCGTCCCTGCCGAGGGCAGCTAGGATGATGCCACTGCTGTTCTTGGTGGCAAATGTGGCCAGCAATTCTGATTCTGGGGACAGAGACTTGGGTGGCAATTCCACGTAGCCGCCTCTCAAGACGCTGACGCTTCGGATGGGCTGGCCGAGGAGAGGACGAAAAAGGACCATGAGTTCCGGCTGCAGGCTGAGTCCCCAACGGCGGGGGACACCACGGGTTTCCCCCATTATCTCTTTTCTATCCACTCCACTGGTTTAGATTTTGTTATGTTATTCTGTAGACAAATCAATGGATATTTCTAGAAACTCACTCCAATATTAATAAAAATGCCTCCTACCTCCAGCGTACAGCCTTTTCTCACTCCGTAGGAGTTTCTGAGCAAATCAAAGGTCGATCGAGATATCTCCAGGTTCTTGATACAGCCCACGTAGCTTTTGCTGGTGATACCTTTCCTGCGGGGAAGGACGTGAGAACGACCACAACACAATTTGGATTTTACAATTCCATTTTTGAAAGAAGGAATAAAAATGGACCTACACTCAGGGAAAACCTGTTCCCATGTGTCTCTCTCCAGAAACGTCTGGGCCTCCCTCTGAGAACGATGTCAATGGTGAGAACTTCAGGTCAAACAAACACTTTCCTGAGGACTAGAGGAAGAGATCAGACCTAGCGAGTGTGGCTACGTCGACAGCCACCTACATACAAATATATTTACTATTTTAAGGGGGACTCACAGTTACGACAATTTAAATACACTCATTAAAATGCAAGCCAGTTATAAGAAAGGCAGAGCACTGTCATAAGGGAATTATAGCCCAGAGATTATAACCCAGTCTCCACGTAGGGTGGAACATTTGCCTCCCGTGGGGACGAGTGTAGCTAGTGCTGGGATCGGATGGCCAGAGAAGTCATTGGCTGTTATTCATACTGCATCTTCATGAACTCTGTCCTAAAGGAAATAAGTGTAACTGGGGAAGTCGGGATTATCCCAAACCCTATTTCTTAGGCTCCACGTCAATACCATATTTTGCCTGCCAGATGTTGCCGCACTCCTGGCTGGGGTCAGGCTCTCATTTCCAAAATACGGAGACTACTGACCATTTCCAAACTGCACCCTTATGCATTAGCTCGTCAGTGGGGAACCCTGCAATAGCATGGTTTCCTGTCACAGTCATGCTTGTTGTTTTGGTCCATGTTGAATAATCAGCTGTAGACCACAAAGCAACTGCATGATTTGGGGCCAATTTCAACCTTTCTGGATCTCAGTTTCTTCCAATGTAAATGAGGAGATGGCCATGATGGTATCCGAGTCCCTTCTACCACAAAAGCCTGTGATTTGGGCTTCTGTCCTTTGCTCCAGCGTCTACACTGTATGCTATTTGGGCAAAGTACAGATGTGCTATGACGCAGCCTGCCCCACCACGCAGGGAATAGGGAACGATACCTGGGATGGGATTCAGAGATAGCCTTCCAGTCCTGGCTCTGTCTCGGCAGGGAGGTAAGACTTGGCAAGTGACCAGCTCCCCTGAGGTTTCGTTTTTGTTTTCATTTGTTTGTGTTTTTGAGATAGAGTCTGCCTCTGTCACCCTGGCTAGAGTGCAGTGATATCATCATAGCTCACTGCAACCTCAAACTCCTGGGCTCAAGTGATCCTCCTGCCTCAGCCTCCCAAGTAGCTGGAACTATAGGTGTACACCACCATGACTGGCTAATTTTCCTATTTTTAGTAGAGACGAGGTCTCACTCTTGCTCAGGCTGGTCTCAAACTTGTGAGCTCAAGCTATCCTTCCACCTTGGCTTCCTAGAGTGCTAGGATTACAGGCGTGAGTCACCACATCCAGCCTTCCCCTGAGGTTTAAATGTATTCATGTCTAAGACCAGGAGGTGACTGTGGTTGCAACTATGCTCCTTGGCACTTTCAAAGATTCCTGGCAAAGAGAAGGGGGATAGTGGGGAAGTGGATCCCAGGCTGCTCACCTGTAGCCACCGCATGGCTGTACCCCTGTGCCACATATTAGCCTTCTGTAAAGAACCTGGCCTAAAGACAGGGCACTGCTATACATACACATTTGAAACCCACTGGACTGGGTGACTCAGTTTGGACATTTGAGGACCCTACTTCCTGGAAGCTGTCTTGCTCTCATAGCTGGACTTACATAGATGACAAAAAAGTTTATGTAAATCAATAAAGTCACAAAGCTAAATATGAATCAGTGTTACAAAAGGATTCCTTTGTTTCTGTCCTCGGCCATCTTTCATCAGGCTCCTGAGGCTGGTCTTTCAACTTTCACACACATTATTCACTCTAACCACACACAGGGGGAATCCAGATACTTCTGCAGAAAGCATGATTTTTTTTTTTCCCTGTAAAGAGATTCTACTTCTCTATGCCAGGTACAGTGGCTGATGGCTGTAATCCCAGGATTTTGGGAGGCTGAGGCGGGGAAGATGGCTTGGGCCCAGGAGTTTAAGACCAGTCTGGGCAATAGCGAGACCCTGTCTCTACAGAAAACAAAAAACAATTAGCTGGCCTGGTGGTGCACACCTGTCATTCCAACTACTCAGGAGGCTGAGGCAGGAGGATCGCTTGGGCCCAGGAGTTTGAGGTTGCAGTGAGCTATGATGATGCCACTGCACTCTAGCCCAGGCAATGGAGTGAGACCTTGTCTTAAAAAAAAAAGAGAGCGATTCTACTACTCTAAAATGTCCAGACATGGGGGGTGCAGTATAACAGCAAGTGGGGTCTCCAAACATTGCACAGTAACAATTTTTAGATGTTCTAAAGGCAATAAATACAAAATTATTAATGTTTCTGCAGAAGGTTTGCTTTACTTCCCAATTAATATGGCATGGAGTACTTTGAATAAAAGCAGATGTAATGGGTTGAATTGTGTCCCCTGAAAAGATGTTGTAGTTTTGAGCTCCCACCTGCAAACGTGACCTTATTTGGAAAAAGTGTCTTTGCAGAGGTAACAAAGTTAAGATGAGGTCATTAGGGTAGGTCAGAATCCAATCCGACGAGGGTCCTTATCAAAAGGGAAAATTTGGACACAGAGTGACACCGGCACAGACGTGAAGCCACAGGGAGAACATCATCCACAAGCTGAGGAGCCCTGAAGCTACCAGGAGCTGGGAGCATGGAACCGATTCTGGCCCACAGCCCTGGAAAGGAAGCAACCCTGACAACACCTCGACTTCTGACTTGTAGCCTCTAGAACTGGGAGAGAATACATTTCTGTTGTTTAAGCACCTAGTTGCTGATATTTTGTTACGGCAGCCCTAGAAAACTAATATAATTGGAAATTAGGGACATGGAAATGCTACAGTTTAATATACCTTACAGCTCTTGACCGAGGTAATCCACCCACATAAATCGGATCCTTATCTAGACGATTGAGGTCAGAAGACACTCCCGGAGTCTCGCCCTGCTTGGTTTCTTTATAACTGGTGTTATGTGCGTCAATAACTGCTAGGAGTCCTAAAAGGAAGTTGAAAGGAAGAGGTAAGAAAATGAAAATCACTTTCTACATTAAAGTAAAATGCACACTTCTGCCAACGAAGTTCATTTACAAAGACATGTTCTTTTCAGTTCTGCAAATTTGACCAGCTAATGTTCTTGGCTATTAAAGGACAAGTGAAAATCCTGTCCACAGAAGTCAATAAATCCAGAAAACACATCAATACATGATAGCAGGATGTGTGTGGAAGAAAACAGAGTGGATTTGGTTCTTGATTCCAATTCAGCAGTTCATGTTAAGTAATGTACTTGGAGACCACAGACAAATAGAAGTATACAATTGCTCCAGCAAAATGTGAATTTTATTGCTTAATATTCCAAGGACAATGACTTTCAATTAGAATATCATTCAATAATACCTAAAAAAATAAAGTAGAACAAAGATTGCTGCTTTTGGAAGATTTCTATTCCTCTGAGGGTAACCTGTGCACCTACCTTGTTTCCGGTTTCGCTGGAAGGCGATTTTGTACCAGGTTCCATTGTTATAACGTCTGTCTGTAATAAGAGCAAGGGGCCCCGAACCCAGGTCAACCATAACTTTCACTCTGCCATGGACCAGCTCGATGGATAAAAAGTCTTTCTGTAAAGAAGAGAACACAGTTCCATGGCTACATCTTCACCCCAAGTTTTCTTTTCCCTTCAAGTCAGGGATGGCGGAAACCTTCTAATGTCAAACTCAGAAAACTGGATCTGGCCCCATAGCCAGAGGTCTCTGCTACAAAATGAAAAATGTCCATGAAGGCTTTCTAGAATACTACGCAAATAAAAATGAAGCTATTTATTGTTACCAAAATCTACAATTCGGTAAGAGGAGTGAAATCTCTTTATATCTTTTTCATATAGACTGAAAAATGGGCCA